GCTGCTCCTCCCTTCTCGTCCTGCTCCGACCCTCATTGGCCCATTCCTCCTCCTCAGCATCATCACTACGGCTTATCCTCCTCCTCCTCCTCCTCCTCCTCCTCCTCCTCCTCCTCCTCCTCTTCCTCGCGATGCTCGTTCGTCGTTCTCCTCTTCCTGTTCATCGCCCTGCTGTTCCTCCTCCTCCTCCTCCTCCTCCTCCTCCTCCTCCTCCTCCTACTCCTCCTCCTCCTCCTTCTCCTCCACCTCCTAATCCCACCAGCCCTTTGGGCGTGAGTGGTTTAGGGAGCTCTCTCTGTTCTCAACCCCCCTTCTTCCCCTTCGGGGAGGTTTAAACCCCTCCCCCTACCCCCTCCCCTGGCCTGGGAGGTCGTATCCGCGGGTCGTCAGGGGTGTCATTTTCGACTCTGGGAGGGCTAAAAAAGAACACCCCTCACGAGGATTCTGGCCCCGACGGGGGGAGGCAGAAAAATCCTCTCCTCTTATTTGAAGCCAAGATCATTGATTTTACTACGGTTTAGGCCCCATTTTGGCCTTCTGAGAGGGGGCAGCGCTCATTACAGCTCCCCTCTTCTTTCAAGGCAAAATCATTGATTTTACGAAGGTTTTGGGCCCATTTTGCCCTTCTGAGGGGGCAGCGCTAATTAAAGCTCCCTTCTTCTTTGATCGATTTCCTCCAAGATGGCCCCAAGAAGCGCCCAGGAGGCACCAAGAGGCCCCAAGATGGCCCCAAGAGGCCCCCAGGAGGCCCCCAAGAGGATCCCAAACGGCCCAAAGAGGCCCCCCGAGGCACCCAAGACGCCGAAAAGCCCATCAGGACGACCCTCTACTCGCCTGGGCGTCGTTTCTGGGCGGGCAGGAGGAGGGGCCCGAACGACTCACACCAGGACGAGGGGCCCGAACAACTCACACCACGAGAAGCCCGAACGACTCACACCAGGACGAAGAGCCCGAACGACTCACACCACGAAGAGCCCGAACGACTCACACCAGGAAGAAGGGCCCGAACGACTCACACCAGGACGAGAAGCCCGAACGACTCCAACCACGAGGAGCGCTTTCTCTCCCTCCTCCTCCGCCTCGTCCTTCTCCCGCTCCCACCACAAGGAGGATGTACAAGGAGGCGGGAGGAAGGAGGAACAGGGGAGATATGCGGGGGCAGGCGGAAACACGCCTGAAAAACACGACTGTCGGCATGCTTCGCTAGAGTTGCTGTTTTGAGATGGGCTGGTGGGGATACGCGAATCGTGAAGAATTTTCATCTGCATCATCATCAGCAGCATCAGCATCACCATCATCATCACCATCACCAGCATCATCATCATCAGCAGCAGCATCATCACCATCATCACCATCACCACAACCATCACCATCATCATCATCATCAGCGTCAGCGTCATCATCGTAATCATCATCAGCAACATCATCAGCATCATCAACATCAACATCAACATCAGCAGCATCAGCATCATGATCATGATCATCCTCATCCTCATCCTCATCCTCATCCTCATCCTCATCATCATCATCATCATCATCATCATCATCATCATCATCATCATCATCATCATCATCATCATCATCATCATCATCATCATCATCATTGTTATCACAATCCTTCTCCTCCTCCCCCTCCTGCTCCTCCTCCCCTCTTCATTCTTACTCGCCTCCGCCTTGTCATTCTCCTCCTGGCCACCGGCACTGGCAAGACAAGCGTGGAGCGGTGTGAGCACAGGGATTACCGCACAGTCGAACGGCAAGGGGCTCATGAGTCCGAGCAGCGAGACCGGAGTGCAGCCACCGCCGCCACGCGCACGGCGGGAGGCTGCAGCGAGCGCGCCTGAGGCGCACCAGCGCGCGGACTCTGTCTGTCTGAGCCTCGCTTGACCGATCACGAACTATCCCTCCTGTCGTGCCTGGGCCCCACTGGACGACTTTAAACCCCCCCAGATGGGGATAGCAAATGTTCCCTTGGGCTTCGATGAGCATTTTCCCAGCTGGGGTGGTGAGACGGTGGGGGTCTGGATGGGGATGGGGATAGGAATCGGTGAAGCGATACTGACTGATGCGGACGGTCACGTGGCGGTGTTCGGCAACCCCGAAACGAAACAAATTACCATCTCTTGCGGGCGCACCTTTTGCTTCCGCTGGCTTCCGTTGGCCTTCCGCCTGCCGAGAGACCCTCGATTTTGCTTCCGCTGGCTTCTGCCGACCTTCCGAGGGCCTTCCGCTGGAGGAGGAGGAGGAGGGAGGAGGGAGGAGGGAGGGAGGAGGGAGGGGGGAGGAGGGAGGGGGAGGAGGAGGAGGAGGAGGAGGAGGAGGGAGGAGGATGAGGAGGAGGAGGAGGAGGGAGGAGAGGACGAGGTACCAACCCCTTCGATCCCTCGACGTCGAGGCCCGTCCTTCGAGCGCCTCACGCGTCTCCGAGGCTCGCTTGTCCAGACAGAATCAGGAATTCGGGTCCGATGTCACAGCGCTCCTCCTCCCCTCCTCCTCCTCCTCCTCCTCCCCTCCATCCTCCTCCTCCTCCTCCTCCTCCTCCTCCTCCCTCCTCCTCCTCCCCCTCCCCCTCCTTCTCCATCCTTCCGCCCCTCTATCCTCCTCCATCCTTCCCCTCCTCCTTCTCCTCCTCCTCTCAGGAGGAGGAGGAGGAGGATTCAGGGGTTCGACTGGTCAGCTTGCCTCCTCACTCCCTCGGAGATCCCCCGAGAGGCATCCCAATCCTCTGCCTGTCGGCATCGTTATTATTTATCCTTCCTCATCGCCTTGTCGCCTTCGTTTTTCCTCCTCCTCCTCCTCCTCCTCCTCCATATTAGAATTTTCCCTGTCCGTATCTCCTCTTCCTCCTCCCTCCCTTCCACTCGACGTTCAGGCACCGCGAACACGTCCAAGCCACAAAACAGTGCATGACAAGGTAAGTCACGTGCAACCCGCACGGAGGGCAGTCGCGCGGTGCCACTCCCTGGAGGCGAAAGCACAGGCATGCCAGGACAACCGCTCGAGCGGAGAGAGCAGAGAGACCCGTCGCCTCAAGGCCGAAGCGAGTGCGGCGATGGCGAAGCGCAGATGGAACACGTGACCCGACGGGCAGAGCCGGTCTGCCGAGGCAACACAAAAGTTGCGCATCGCTGAGCAGACCGCGCGCGGGCAAAATTTTCGACGGTGGTGCTGTTCGCAGGAGGGAGGGCCGGACACGACAGTCTAGGCCCCCCCGAAGCCCTAGATCTAGCCGAAATCGGCGCTTTCCCCCAAGACGCTGACCGCAGGACGCACGTCGACCCAAAATTTCGGTCCGCGCGCAGGTGTGGGCAGGTCGTGCGGTTGAACAGTCCCAGGGGGGCCTGTTGTGCAGCTGCGAGCGCGGCACATCCCGAGAGATGGCGGAACCGAAGACAGCAAGATCGAAGGCCGCTGCTTGTTTTTTTTTTCGTTCGACATCAACAGCCACAGAGCCGCCTCACTGGCGGCTAACACCGTCCTTGTCTAACCGCACCCCTGATGTCTTGGGATGGGGGCATTTGCAGAGCATAGACCAGACCTCCTTGCGCCGAGCATTACCCGCAGACAAGACGTGGTGTTCTTGTCTGGATCCGAAGCGAAGCCCTGGCATGGGTCCCCAAGCCCCTCAGCTGTCCTCCCGAGGTGTAATAGTAACAAAGCTGGCAGACGTAGACGAAGCTGTCGTCGCTGCAATCGGCAGCAGTACACGTATGACCAAGCTCGCGCAACTGAAAGAGCTGCTGCGTCACCCACCCAGCGCGAGACTGGAGTGAAGGTCACTCGTATTCTTCTAACCGCTGAGCTGAGTGCCGCTACGATCTGAAGTTCACGATGTAACTGCGTATGTCTCTTCGCGCCAGAGCAACTTATTACGACCGCACTGGGCAAAAACGTCGGCGTAGGTCACAATGGTTCCGTGAAGCGTATAAAGGGCCCGTCTCACTCAGAGACTCCAGAGGGAGGTTGTGCAATAAATCTGAGGGTCTGCAGCAGCAGAATTGGGAGCAACAGGCGGTGAAAGTGCAACCGCTACGTCGAGTGAGCTGCATGTACGTGTGCCATATCTCGCCACCATTTACTCCTCTGTCTCACCTTCCTTCCCCTCCTCTTCTTGCTCCTCCCACCGCCGCCTCATCACTGTGGCCGAGCCTGGAGTGGATGACGAAGAGAGGAGGTAGTAAGAGTGGGTGGAGGGCGGGAGGGGAAGGAAGCGGACCAGGACAAGAGTGTGTTCCGAGCCCACGCCGTCTGGCTATCTAGAGCCCCTGGGGCCGGCTATCTAGAGCCCCTGGGGCCGAATGAGATGGATCCAAAGTCAGTGGGCACGGCACTCAAGGCGACCGCGCCCGAGCAAAAAACAACAAACTCGTTGTAAGAGAAGGTCCCTGAGAAACGCGACAACACAATCGTGGCCGGCATTCGCACGCCAATGAAGGCCGCCGAACATGGAAGATACGACAGATCCTGTGCCGCACAACTTGAACAACTTGACCGCCACACGTCTTTCCCTGGCATCCGCCTGCCTGATTGTTTCAGTCCGAGGCCCGAAGCCCCGACCGCTTCCCCAGGGCTGGTTTCTCGCCCCAGATTCCTCTTCGACTGTCGCGGGCTCCGGAATCGGCCCCCGACGTCCGAAACCAAGGAACAAAAACGCCCGTCGACACAGCAATGCCGTCGAAGATCTGAGTGGATCGCACCGACTGGCTCGGAAGCGTCTCGACAGGAGTCCGAAGGGGTGGGAAATGGGGTGGTGTGGGTCTGGGCCAGGGATCCGTCGATCCGCATTTAAACAATCGCGCGAGCAGACAAGGGGGGGGAAGGGTCCTGACCCGTCGCCGAAAGCAGCCGCCCAAAGCAGCCAAGATCTGGTCCCCAGCCCAAAATAGGATTAAGACAATTATCAATTAAGAAAGCTGGGCCAGCTTTTCAAAACGTTTTTTCCCGACCTAGGCTCTGCCTAGACGGGTTCTTACTCGGAGGCTTGAAGGGCGGGGCAACGGGGCTCGCCCCGGGCGGTTCCCCCAGGATCCCCCCCGCGGTTCCCCCAGGATCCCGCCGCGCCCCCTGGGTGAGCCTAGCTTAGCTTAGCTTCGCTTAGCTTAGCTTCGCTTAGCTTAGCTTACCTTAGCTTAGCTTATCTTCGCATATCTCATATTGCCTTAGCTTAGCTTAGCTTAGCTTAGCTTAGCTTAGCTTAGCTTAGCGTAACCTAGCCTAGCTTAGCTTAGCTTACATTAGCTTAGACTAGCTTAGCTTATCTCATCTTAGCTTAGATTAGCCCAGCTCACCTTAGCTTAGCGTATCCCATATTAGCTTAGCTTAACTATCATAGCTGAGCTTGGCTTGGCTTAGCTTAGCTTATGCTGCTTTCCTAAGGGCTCCAACTCCTAGGTCGGGTCGCACTGGGATAATTAAGGAAACGCCGGGCCAGCTTTGGGAGCCAGGAGCGTACACTACTCATGTCTAGGATCCGAGGCGACCGCTCCTCTTAAGAAACTGAGCCAGCTTTCCGGCAACTTGTTTAAGAAACGCTTGGCCAGCTTTTCGGGGGGAGGTTTCTGAATCACAAGCGGGGCCGCATGGGGGCAGGGAAGGTCTGGGGGCCCGCGCCGATCGGCGAAACAGTACCTTAGAACGTATAACTGCGCAGCAATTGTTTTTCGAGATGCGCTGCAGGCGCGCCCGCAGCGACGAGAGGCTCGGCGCAAGACGAGGCTCTGGCGCGGCGGGGGGGGGCAGCAGGGTGAGCCGAGACGGAGGGGCGAGGGCCACGACGCGCAACGCGTAACACATCGATTCTGGCATGCAGGAGCGGCACCCGAGCGACAGGCGGCACCGAATCGAAACATCAGTTCGACTCGGAAACCGCATCGAATCGGCATGCATTTGGTACATGGCCCAGATCCCAGTCAAGCCGTTTGGGCACCGACGGGATGTGCGACGACAGCAGCTGGTAGACGAGCGTGCTATCAGCATCGACTTCCCTACCCGTCAGGTTCCTGTTGATCGCGTGCGCGAACGTCGCAGGCCCGACAATAATCGGTCTCTGATGGGACCTCTTGGATTCATAGGCGAGCGGACATGACAAATCCCCATCGCTCGCTTCGCATACTGGTTGATCTCAGGCCGTCCTCCCGCGCGGCGGACTATGAAGCGGGTCTTCACCAGCAGCGAGTCTTGAATCCAATTCCACTTCTCCACCATATCCAAACTGTCCCATGTCTTTAGGGAGTCACTGGCAGAGCCAGGACTCGCCCCTCCCGAGTATGCTGACACAGGGTTAAACACAGGAACTTCCACCCTTTCGAACAACGCTTGCATGAAACGAATCATCCTTTCGTCGCGTGCAAGTTCCCGAAGCACAAGATCTCTGTCAGGCACCATTGCCAGGTAGGCGATGTGTTCGTCGCAGGGGGGGGCAAACATTGGCACATCCTTCCATGGCGGTCTGGCCGCCGCGACCTTCTCTTTCACCCAGCCAGCGAACCTCGCGGGATCAACGTCCACGTACGGAAGCAAGGGCAAATGAGGAGTGTCATCAAGGCTAAATTGGAGGAGTTGTGCGTATTCCACGTCTGCCAGAAAACGGCGCCCAGTCTCTTTGTGCGGCAGGCGACTGGCGAAGCACGACGCTCGCCCTGGGCGAGGAGGCCTAATTTTCCGCCGCATCTCGTCGCCAGCGCAGGCATTGCCTCCCCTCGGACTTTCCCCTGGGCTGGCGATCACCATTATGCAGACTCTGCAGGCATTCGCTATATACCTGGCCATCTCACTCGCATAGGATTGGTCGGGGCTCGCAGCGAAATGCCGCGTGAGTCGCCGGCAGGGGGCTCCTCTCTG